GTCGCTCGTCCTCTGCATCTGTGAATACGGAGCTTCAAAGATCGCTGCCGTATTACATTGGGCAGGGCCTTCAGCCCTACTACATGTACTACCCAACCTCTATCAATCCCTCGGACGCTCCCACAAGGGGGCGTGAACTGCCCGAAGTCAGTGAGCCCCTCCCAGGCTGGTGGCTCGACGCCTGCGAAGGCAAGTTCGATGGATTCGATAAGTGGTTGGAAGCAAAGTCTGCAGATCCGTTTAGTCTTTCAGCACTTCCCAATCTGGACGAATTGAGAAAGTCTTGTACGAACGAAGTGAAAGTTCAGCTCAGGTGTGGCCACCTCCGGAAGCAGAAGAAACTACGCGATTTGCTACTGGAGGGACATCAGCGCCGTGAAGGAGCGTGTGCTGGTGCAAAGTCTCGAGAATCCCTTTCTTCAGCAACCTCAGTTTCAGACGAAGGGCTTGCTCCCTTTGTGACTCGAGGCTGCTTTGTTTGGCCTAAAGGTGTGGACAGAAGTGTCTGTGGAAAGCTCCCTGGGTACATCGACTTGTGCTCAGGCAACATGGGTTATGCGAGAGAGTTAGCAAGGCTATCAGGACGCTGGGTCGTGTGCTTTGACATTGCAATCGACAAGTCTCATGACCTCCTGGAAGTCAGTGTTCAGGACGAAATCCGAGCTCTGTTGCAAAGGGGGAGCGTTCTTGCTTTGAGCGCTTCGCCAAGCAGCGGAAGTTTTTCCGTTGGTTCGACAGCAAGGTACAGGACCGCGAACTTTCCTGCAGGGGTTCCTGAGTTGAGTCCTGCTCAGTTTGAGAAGGTTTCGAAGGAGAATCGAATTGCAGAGTTCATTGCCGAAGTTTGCCTTTGGTGCGTTGCATCATCGCTTCCCTTCTGGGTTGACAATCCTGCCACTTCGTTGCTGTGGAAGCTCAAGTCCTTTCAGCAACTCCGAGCTTTGCCGGGTGTGGACAGCTGGCAGGTTGACCACTGTGCTTTCGGAGCACCGTGGCGCAAGCGAACTCAGGTGCTCACTTCTACGTTCTTGGCGGGACAGGTGACTCCGTGCCCAGGGTGTCAGTCGCACCACCAACTACGTGGTCGCTCACCTTTGTACAGACGTTCGTGGACAAAGCTCGCGGAGAACTTTCCCAGAGGCTTGAGCTTGGTTTTGGCCATGGCCGTTGCAGGAGCCTCTGGAGACCGCCCGGAGTTCAGGCGACTGGACGCCTGTAGCTGTGCAAGGGCGTTGTGCTGCAGAATAGGAGAAGCCAGCAACCCTGGTCCTCGGAGGTTGAGTGCGAGCGCTAGGGCTGCTAACCGAGCGGGCCAGAGTTTGGGCCAAGTTACCTTAGTTGAGCCGAAGACCCAAGCTCTTGAAGAACGTTTGTGGTCAGAGTTTGTGGCCTGGGTTGCTGCGGACGTTTGCTTCGCCACTGCGGAGCACCTCACGAGTGTGTCGGCCACTCTAGCTCCTCTACTACGAGAGTACGGAGACGAGCTCTTCCACGTGGGATCGTCCCTCAGCTACTTTAGGCACCTGTTGGCCTACGCTCAGCGAAGGTTTCCTGACTTCCGGATGCATGGCCGCATCTGCTCGGACGCTGTCACCAGGTGGGAACAACTTGAACCTTTAGAGCACAGGCTGCCGCTCCCAGCTGCGCTCTGCAGAGCCATGGCGGCCTTGGCACTGGGGTGGCGGTGGTACCGCTTCGCTTTGGTGCTCTTGTTGGCTTTTGAGGGCATCCTTCGGATCGGGGAGATTCTCGAGGCTCATCGAATTGATCTCGTACTCCCTGAAGATTTATTCTCGGAGGACCGGGACCAACTGTTCGTGCGGGTCGGTGCCCCCAAAACGAAACGTCGAGGAGGCGGACGGCAACAGCACTCTACAGTCAAAGGCGGCCCCCTCGTCGCAGCTTGTGCCACTGTGTTTTGCCACTTGGCGCCGACGGAAAAGCTCTACCCCTTGTCAGCGCAAAGTTTCCGACGACGATGGGACGTTCTGCTACAGCATCTTCATGTCGATCCAGAGCTACACCTGACTCCCGCCGGTGTACGCGGCGGAGGCGCAATCCAGGCCTACCAGGCGGGCATGTCGGTCACTAATCTGCTCTGGCAGATGCGATTGCAACATGTGCAAACTCTCCATCACTATCTTCAAGAACTTGCTGCTCAGAACGTTTTGGCTCAGCTTTCTCCAGAAAGCCGCCACTCGATACGAGCGGCCTCAGACCTTCTTCCACACCTGCTAGCCAACCTGTCTGTTCGCCGCCGGGGACCCTCGCATGGGCTTTAAGGCGTGCGCCTTTCGTTGCCCCGAAACGGCCTGCAGTTCAGTGGTGGAGTTTTACTTGGCTTCTTCGACAACAGCTTCCAGTACGACCTCTTTGCCTGCGAGAACTACGCCTTCGAGCTCTTTTACCTTCGCGGCTCTTTTGTCTACGTGCTGGCCCAGTGCAGAGTTACGACTTTCGAGCCTCTTCGCTTCGTAGCTGTTGTTTCGGAAGCCTGCTGGTGACACACCAGCCTCCAACCTTGGACGTGGCTGAGCGGCGAAAAAGTGAGACGCGCGGCCGCTGGCAGCAGTTAGCGAGTACTTAACATGTATTTTCGCTCGCGTACGCGTATGCTGAAGAGTTTTCTTCCGGACTTCTTTACCATGGAAAGTAGCGAAAGGTAAAGATGGCCAGCCACTCGCATGCCATTTCCATTCCAACCCACAACATACCCGAATCTGCTTGCAAAACGGTTTCGTTTCAACGTGCGTTACGCTTCTGAGACTGCAAACCACAGCTGGCTTTACGCGATTATGCGAGAAGCATGACGAAGATCCACTGCGCAGGCTCACGACGCAGATGGCCTTCGTTATCACATCACTATGTTTCCAGCCATCTTCTCCTTGCGGACTGTTCTACAAGTGGTCGTCCCGTGCACGCAGATGAACGTGGCGTGCTGATTGATTTGCCTGCCGGTTGCACGGCTAGCGTGCCCGATCGCTCCAAGTTGCATGAAATTTAAAAGGCGCTGCAAGTTCCCAGCGTCAGCTTGTGCTTTCGCTTGCTATTGTCGAGCACATGGCTGATGGACCCATGGCCGAAAGCGCCGCCGTAGAATAGGAGCATTTCTGGAATATACCTGCTGCATCGACACCCCGACTTGCATTTGCACAAAAGCGTGAATGTTTCTGATGTGATCAAAGACGTTATGGCCGTTCTCGTGAGTCCTATCTGAATTCCGCCAATGCATGGGGGAGCCTTCTGGTTGTTTTTTGAATTACCATGCGGGTAAGCATCTTGATCGAGGGTTTGTAAAATGTTTTATACGCTTAAAATTAGCCTTTGGAGGGATCATAGAAGGATTTTTGAAGGGTGTAGTTAGAGAAAGGCTCATCGAAGGTTGGAAGGATGACAGGGGATGCCCAGAGCTACCTGGTGTTTTTTAAACACTTTCGGGACATTCATTTGCGAGCACTGATCCAGCCAAGAAGTACAAGTTCGGAGCGAGGCCCACGAGTTTGGGACTACAGGAGGTCCACTTCCCCAGGCAGAAAGCGTCAGCATTGTGAACCTTGCAGTTGATCTGTCTTTCCAGAAGTTTTTCCTCAAGAGGCAAGGGGAGATTCTGGGGCTGCGGGTGAGAGCTTGGCCCTCGGTCTTCCAGTCTCTCATCTCTCCGCTCTTCTTCCACTCCCCTCTCCGCTCCTTTGTGTCGAGGTCGCAGCGGCAGAGGGCGCGAGCCCGCAACTGTCGAGCCGAATGCAGTCCGGTACTCGGAGAATCGGAGAACCACACGGCAACGTTTTGCGGAGCGCTGGCTGTCAGCAAACATCGATTTTTCAGCCGATGTTCGGTGCTTTTCTCTGTAAGTCCTTGGTCCTGCATGGCAGGATTTGTGTGTTTCTTGCGCTCAGTTTTCTTTACGGTATCATTTTCGGGACAGCAACTTGAATATGGACCATAGGCGGATCCGAGGAATCAGGGCTTCGGGCTCCTTTGGGTAGCCTGTGTCGCATTCGTAAATGGGTTTGCTGGGGAAGCCTCTGCCTGCAAGGGAAGGGGATCTTCCAGGCTTCTACAGGATAAGTTGCTCCGAGGTCTGCTTCGGCCGAACAGCGGGTGTCCAAGAGATCCCCGGCCGGGCCCCAAGTTGCAAGCCATCACTTTGGTCCGAGGTATTTGTGCCAACACAAGCTCCTTCCTTTTGCCCAGGCCGGTCAAAGTTAGGAAATACATTCTCTTCGTGTTTTCGTATGAGCCATCTGGCAAATGATGCCACGCAGGCTTGCCTTCTTTTTCCAACCTCATCTAGGCTGTCTCCTGTCTCCATATGATTCTTCGTGGGTTCGTTGCCAGCCCACCACATGGGTGCCGCCATGCCCTGTGGCAATGTGGTCTCCACAGTGGCGGAAGCAAAACGTACTTGCAAAGCGTCTGAACTTGCCCTGTCTTCAACGGGAGAAGAGTAGTTGCGAGAAGGGAGCAGACAAAACACAATACCTGATGTTTGCTTGCCTCAACAACTAGACTTGTTGCCCGTCAAGGGTGTTCCACTTAACACAGCGACACCGCAGCTGTGGGAGATCTTGTTATGGCCCGACAGTGTTCTGCCACTGCTGGCAGCAGAGCCACCGCAAAGCTACAACCCGTCTCCGCGGTTTGCTCTGCTTACCTTGGCGAAATTCCTTCCTCTGTACTCAGCTCTAGCAGACTCTAGCGCATTGCAGGGTCTCTTGCAGAACTTGGTGAAGGCGCGAAGCCGGGAGTGGCCCAGCGACCTTGCAGTTCGTCTTTCGGTCTCGAAGGCGCCTGGCACCTTCCTCGTCGATCTCGAGGCCCGGCTCCGTGCCAAAGCGCGAGGGAGCCAGGAGGCCTCGGCGGCCTCAAGTGAGCTTTGAGCCGGTTTGGGCCATTGCACGCCGTTTCACAGCACCCTCCGTGAAGAGCGCGAAGGCATAAAAGGTAGAACCGACTGTCAGCGTGCACGTCCTGGCGCGATGAACTCCCGCCCTTCGCAGGTTTTGATGGGCTTTGGGCAGCAAGGCCCAGTTGATGTTGGCTGGTAGCCAGAAGAGAACCCCTGTCGCACAGGAAGGCCGGCACCAGCTTGGGGCCCAGAGAGTCCAATTGCTGCCGTGGGCCGCAAAGTGCAGCTAGATGAACAGAAGCCTTCCCCAAAAAGGCGGCAAAGAGAAACCCGGGCTGCAGAACCGGGAGGGTTCTCGAAGACCAGAGAGCGAGAGCGAGACAGAGAGGTCGGGGGCTTGCCACTCAAAAACAGAGAGCCTACCCAGCTGTCGTTGCCGTTCTGCTGAGAGAGCACTAAGCCATCCACTCATCAGCACAATGGGTGGTGCCGCTGGCCCAAAGGTCGCTAGACGACCCCTATGCCCTAAGTCCTGGAGGCCGGACACCTGGCGGTGCCGGGAGCGCCGGCCCTGATCCAAGCGCTGTGGCGGGTTGTGCGGGTTGGGCTGCATTGGGTGACTGAGGCCAAATCCGAGCGGCGGATGTCGGTGGCCGATGGGGGGCTCCAAGTCGGCGGGCGCGCGGGCGGCTGTGCGTGCGGCTGTGCATGCGGCTGTGCATGCGGCAGTCGCCCTGTCAGGCTGCCAGACGTCCCGGAGCACCATGGCCAAGGCCCAGGCCCGTTGCTCGGGCCAGCCTCTCTTCTCGCTCTCGCTCTAGCGCTCTCGCTGCGAGGCGTCGTGTCTCCGCTTCATGCAGACGACACACTCGAGATTATGGCGGACCAGATGCAGCTAGACGAGGCTTCTCACTGTAAAGTGCCGGCTGAACGACGGAAATGACGGAAATCTGCGGCAGATGGACAACGAGATCTTCGAGCCGTTGAACCAGTTCGACGATGACCTCAAGGACCTGATGATCGATTGCATCACGGAGAAGGCACACCGTGCGCCGGAAAGCGTGCAAGCGGGATTTTTTTTGTATTGTCAGGTCCGGCGGATCCTCTCCTTGGACCCATCCAAGTACAAGAACGGTCGGCTGCCCTTCGGCCTGAAGCCTCACAAGGATCGAAACTTGCTGCCCCCCGCGGGCCCCGTCGCCAGCCCTCCCGCGGCTCTCGCCAGGGCCTCGCCTTCGCCGACGACGAGACGGATCTGGAGGAGACCCGAGTTTTGTGCAGAGACATGCAGAGACGTCGCTCTCCGCGGCAGGCGGAATTGGAGCGGATGCGGGAGCTCTACGAGCGGCTCAAGGAGGAGAACGAGCAGCTGCTGCGCCAACTCGAGGCCATGTGCGGGCCTTCCGGGCGTGGGGCACGCGGGGCGCGAGCGCCTTCCTGTGCTGAAGGCGGCCCGGGCAGCGGCCGAGCGCTGGAAGCAGAAGTATTTGGAGCTCCAGAACAAGCCTGCAGAGGTTCAGGCGGGGTCGGCTCGTTCCGCCAATGCCATGCCGCCAATGCCATGCCTGAGGAGGAGAAGGTGGTGTTGTCGAGACCGGCATCCGTGAAGACGCCGCGCGCTCGCGGGTTTGCTGTGTGTCTCCGTCTATCCTTTTTTGCTGCAAGGACTCCAGAGACACCAAAAGAGAGAGAGCCGACACCGCCTCCAGTAATCAAGGGGCTCTCCGACGAGGAGGTCAAGAGGCGGAGACATCTCAGCAGGGCCAGTAGACAGGCAATGCAGAACACCCCTTCAGGTTGCTAGAGGAGCAGGAGAAGGCAGCACAGCAAGAACTGTCGAGCGAACTGCCCCCATCGCATGTTCGGCCAAGGCCTACAAAACCAAGATTGCTGCGCTGGAGAAGCGGATCAAGCAGCTGGAAGACGAACTGGCGAAGCTCAAGGCGCCTTTGGACCGCGAATCAAGGGGATTTTCGCGAATCTTCGGCTGAAGGCGGAGAAGGACAAAGCGGAAGCGAAAGCCAAAGAAGCAGCCGAGACCGCCCAGAAGGTGCGCCACCTGTCGCAACGGTGCGCGCAGAAGATCGCAGAAGTCGCAGGAACGGGAGCGCCGAGAGACGCTGCAGAAAGAGCAGGAGCAGGCGCGGGAGATGGCGGGAGCAGGCGGCTTCAGAGACCACGGAGACCGAGACCTGGTGAGAGGCTCCGCCGGAGCCGGCTGGGTCGGATGATGCTATGAGCTCGGAGGGCCATTGAAGGCCTCAGAGCTCAAAGAGCTCAGCAGTCTTATCGACTTACCCTTTATTTCCATCCCATTCGTGGCCCCCCCTGATCTCGGCTCGAGTGGAACCTCCTTGAGCCAAAGTACGGGGTACTCCATGTAGATCGCGAGAGAGCGGAGGACTTGTAGTATCCAAACCAAGCAGTGTCCATCGGTTTCGTAGAACAACAGAGTGTCGCCGTGAAGCTGCTCGAAATCGAGGCAGAGGCAGGGCGCCGGAAAAAGCCGCCGGGTCAAAAGTAGCTGCGAACTGGTGAAGGTCTAGCGGCTAGCGATGCTTTTTCTGCCGGCTGAGCTCACTGCCTATGATGCTGGCAGAGCTCTCGGCGGGAGATGGCCGTGGAGTTCTTTTGCTTCTGTCTCACTTGAGGCTGTGCACCTATGAAGCGGCCGGCCGCGCTGGAGCTCTTCCTCGTCGCTGCCGGCACCCGAACCCTGTGACCGCGATGACTCGTTCTCGTTTTGCACGTCGAACTTAAGGCCGTCTCTTTTGTCGTGTCTGCGCTGTGCGCAGCCGCTACCGACCTCATCCCGTGGAAGTTGCGGGAGCTGCCGATGCCGGTCGGCTGCAAAGAGAGAGGCAGAGAGAGCGAAACTCTGTCGTGAGCCTGGTGAAGGGGCCAGCAGACTGCAGCCCGAAGCAGCGATTTACACCGACACGTGCAGCCAGACCCATCAAAATTATTCAAAATGATGGATGGGCCAACCGCACGGATCACGGTGCCTGTGCCTCCCGAGCGAAGCAAAGAGAGCGGACAGAACGAAAGAAAGAAGGAGCTCTCCTGCTTGCTTCTTGGCCCTGTTCCGAGGGCCATGAGGTGGAGGGCTCGTGCCACCGTGGCCTCACTGCCAGGGGCTTGCAGTGGCAGGGTGTCCACTGTTTCTGTCGCTGCTCTGTCGGGATCTGGCCCAGGCACCAGCCGGTGGCCGTGCTCTTCCTGCTGCCACCCAGCGAGGCGTTGGAGATCTTTCTCTTCACTGGTCCTGGCACTCAGTACTCGTAGATTCAGCTCATCTTAGACTTCTCTTCGACTAGTGACTAGTTCGAGGTGGCAACCAGTGGACCATCAGTGCACCGCGCAACTTGTGGCTCACACTGCTGGGATCCCAATGCAAGGACTGCCAGAGAACATGGGGAGCGAAGAGAAGTATCGTGATTAGGTTCTACCTCCTGGGAGCCTGGTTCTTCGAGCTCTTGGTGCGCCGGCCACATGGGGCATGGGCATGCTGCGACCACGTTGTTTTTCTCCTCTTCACTCTCTGCCGGCGAGTGTCTCTGAGATTCTGCTGCACCCGAGCACGGGGGCCATGAAGTCCTATGGCCGGCGTGGTTGGTCTGCCGGCGGCTCGGAATCCGGAAAGGATTTCGGGGAGACCTGCTACCCATAGGACCGCCGAGGTGCAGGCGGCCCATCATTTGGGCTTCCCTGCCTTTGCGTTGCACAACATCATCAGTGGCTGTGCCGTCCCAGGTAGGCCGCGCAAGCACGAAGGAAAGGCACCAAGCTGCTTTGTTTCACAGGTACGGCCGTGGCCTGCTACACCGAGCTGACCGTCTTCTTTACTAGCTCCTTCTGGATCGCCAAAATGGTCGGTGCTGGCGACATCGTCCTCGTGCCCATCAAAGTGGGCATGGTCATCTTCACCTTCGCCCCAAGCTTAAGCCCAGAGTCCAGATAGTGCAGATTGCAGAGCTTGCAGACGTTTTTCTTTGGAGGTCCTCCGTGGTGGCTGTGTGCTGCTGCTGGATTTGCGGGCCATCCTCAACGATCAGTCAGAGCTGCCTGTGGCCAGCTGGCTGACCCAGGCCAAGAGGGAAGAGCCACCCATAGCCTACGTAGGCCTAGTAAGGGCCTTGGAAGTGCCATCTCTGTTCTTGTCAGTGCCTGGCGCTGGTGGGCATGAACGTGCGTACCCCAGAAAACGGGTGTTTGGAGGTAGCTTTCTCATGTCGTGGTGATGTTGAACCATCTGGGATGTCTTGTTGGCAGACGCCATTTCTGCTTTCACGTTTCAGAACTGGAACAACAGGGACGGCGCCCAGCATCGCAGGGCTCCTTACCGCCTGCGTGGAGGTAGATTCGCGTTCGAGTGTGCGACTTTCTCCTCTGTCCCGAGTTGTTCCCGGCAAGGGTCGGCAGATCAGATCCCAAGAGGCTGCTAGTTGGAGGGGCATGAACAAAATGGCATCACCAAGAAGGAGGATGCGCAGCTCCTGAAAGGGACAAACTATGACAAGCTCGATTAACGCATCTCATTCACAGAAGTTTTCCTCTGCCAAAGTTTCGGTTCCGACGTGGCGCAAGGTCCTGAATCTACTCATCCTCCGCTTGGTCTCTGGTGCGGTGATGCGCGGATCCAAGGCTGGGGCAGTTTGAGGCAGCCTTGAGGGATGTCGCAGGATGCAGGGGTAGTATGGGGCGAAGCCGCGACAGGTGGATTCGGGCTGGACGTCGGTGATGGAGCATGCTCTGAAGCTGGCCACAACCCCAGCCTGCCCAGCCTGCCCAGCTCTGGGGTCCCGACTTTTGGTGGATGTGCCAGGCCATGCATCACCTGGGCCCCACGGTGTCTGAGCGGATCCTGCTCGAGATGCAGAGCGCACATGAGGCAAACTCATGCACTTCCATTTCTAGCCTCTAGCCACAACAGCACTGCACCTCTGCCAGGATTCTTCCCATCCTTCCAGCTTGGAACGACTTTTCCAGTCAGCCCTCCGTACGGTGTGGGGCTTCCGGCGCCGCACGGTGCTCCATCTTGCTTTCCCAGGCTGTTTCGGCAGCCGCCCTTCCTGGAGGAGAAGGCAGAACAGAACGGGCTAGCACAGGAAGAAGCAAAGCCTCTTCAACGAAGGCAGCTGTGCCTGCGCCTGTCCCCAATGGCCCTGGCTCTGCGCCGGGAGGAGCCTTTTTGAAGTGTGGCTGTTGCAACGGGACCTTTTTGTGTTGAGCAGGAGGTCATGTCCAGGCCCAGCCATCCCCGAGCATCGACAGGGAGAAGCTGTGTCGGGCTTGTCCACAGGGTCAGGGCCGGTCAGGGCTTCTGAGTCCCCTTCCTAAGATTTCCCAAGCATAAGGCGTGAGATGATGATCAGACTGGCAGCTGAAGCTGCCGGCTTCCCTGTGGAGGCCCTTGGTTTACAAAGCCAGGAATAGGCATTCTCTCTGAGCCCCACCTCTAACTTCGGCGAGGCCGAGAAGCCTCTGCTGGATTCCGGGATGGACTCCAAGGCCGCAGTGCAGTTCTCCGCGAAGCCCGGACCCCAGCCCTGGGAGCCCTCGAAGAGCCCCTAAGAGCCACGCAACTCTCTGAGCTCCCTAAAGAAAGGCTCGCGACGGAGCTCCCGGACCTGCGCCTGCCCAGCACGCTCGTCTTCGACTACCCCACGCTCTCAGCCCAAGCCTCGGCGAAACACAGGCGTGCTCAGCGTGCGTTCTTCTGCTCCGACCTCCGAGGCTGTGGCAGCTTACGCTGAAGAAGCGCAACGTCCAAGAGAGCGAAAGCACCTTCAGATCAAGAAGCCTGTGGCGTCGAGCGATCCTCTTTCCGTCATTGGTGCGGCATGTGCCTTTCCAGGCACCACCGCCGAAGGGAATGAGATTGAGCAGTTAGGGAAGATTGAACTGATTCAGGGCTTGCTCGACTGAGTAGCTTACAGGCGACGCGTGCAGCCCCGGGAAGTTCGGTGCGCTGTTGGCGTCCGGCACTGACGGCATTGTCGAGGCAGGGCCCGCTTCTAGGAAGGTAATGAGAGAAAAGGCAATCGAATCTAGACTTGATGGCCGCGAATCTGCTGGAAGTGATTTTGCGTTTGACCCTGTGCCTCCGATGAACCTCTGCACAGAGTGCAGGCACCATCTAAGAAATGAGCCGCCTTTTCAAGCAGGAATTTGATTAGGGTGACCATGGCATGGCACCACCTATTATCGACACTCAGCAAGAGGGCCGAGCACTGGGGAAGGCACGAGGTGAAGAACCAGGATGACCTCCCGCAATGATTGAGACACTCAGAGCTATGCAAGAAAAGTTGGCAGTTGTGAGAGGTGCCCTTCACGCGCTGGGAGCTGTGTGAGTACTACGATCCCAATCCTGATGCGTCCAGAGCCGAGTCATTCTGTCGTGTGGCGGTGTTCCACTCTCTTGAACTTGAAAGCTGCCAGGCCGGGAAAGATGTATCCGTGCCATGCTGCAATTCGACAGCACCATAACGCCTACGTTGACGACCCGCTTTCGGGCCAGGTGTTTGGGTTGTGGATTCGGATGTGATGCCCGAGGCCTTCATCGAGGGTGCCGAAGATTTTGCTGCATCCTATTTCAACATCTCTGCACCGGAGGCCGCACAGCTCACTCAAAGTCCACAGCCCAGCATGTCTCGCCAAAACATGCCTGTTGTGTCAGATAGGCCCCAAGCTCGCCATCCACTCACTTGCGTACTGATCATCTCAAAGTCAAGCATAAGTCAAGATTGAGTCAAGATGCTTGGGTCAGCTCTTCTCTTGCTCGCCTCAACCGTGGGCAGGCACGGGCCATGGATCCGCAGCAGCGCTTGGTGCCTCAACTCAGCCAAGCCCACTACCCGCTTAGACAACTCGAGCCACCACAAATTGGAGGTGACGGCTAAAAAATTGCCTTACATCTCTGGACTCCGTGCTTGCAGCAGACTCCCACAAGACGGTTCAAGTGCTTCTCTCCTGAAAGATTCCTGGGCAGCAGGCGGGCAAAGTATGTGTCACGAGATGACGGGTAGATGCGGGGCTTCTGGAAATCGGGCGACGGACTCTGTGGCTGGCCAAAACCACACGGCGGAAAGCCACATTATAGCCACATTCCTTGCGGGAGTGCGGACAAGAGAGCCGGGAGCTCTCAATATTTGTCAATGCACACATGTCCATATTTCAAGCACAGTACAGCAAGGAGAGATGACTCGCTGAGCTCCACGTGTTTGTTTCCAGGTGCTGGAGGTGTGCCACGACTCACTCCTGGAAAGCACCTTCTCGCGTGAGGCAGCTCAACAACTGCAAAGCCAACACATGCAAAACGTACGCAGTGGATTGGCAGGCACTGCTCGGTAGTTCGACTGCTGCCATTGTTGGCGTGTCCAACAACGACTGGATTCAAGTCCAGTCCGGCGACATACGCACGAGCCCCGGACTGCGGCTGCTGTATCCTGTCGCCTCCCTTTGGCGAACTTGCCCGAGCCAATCATGCAGCATGGCGGTGCTGTGAGCTCAGAGTTCATCGTAGTAGACTGGGCTTTCCAAGTACGACACCGCGCTAGCACGCGGCTAAGAGGCAGACGCCCCTCGCTGAGGCAAGCTGAACCCTTACACGGCGACTGGCACCTCCGCCTCCGTCGCCGCTGCTCGCCCGGGGCCCAACGGGCAGTCGAAGAGTCGGCAGAGGACGGAGACACAGAGAGGCGACAGAAAGAGATCCTTTGCAAGGTGTGGCTTTCTGCCTTGGCCTCAAGGGCCCAGCCTACGTGGTGGACACGGCCTGCTCCTCCGCGCTGGCCGGGGGACCAAGCGGGGCAATGCCTTCCGGTGTTCTCCTTTAGAGGTTTGGGGGCTGGTCGACGCGAAATGGAAGGCTAGCCTTCGCAAGAGCATGTGCACACAAGCATTCGCGAGTGTCGTACTGGTCTTGGAATGCGGCACGCGAATGGGGAACTAACTCATAGCAATTCCTCGCCTGATTTGTTCATGCAGCTTTTGAAGCTCGGCCGCTGCAGGGAGCATCTGCCCCAAAGCAATTTCGGGGGTTAGGCTGCGAGAATCGGAGACGATATGAGACGATGTAAGTAGCTGTGGTGTAGACTTCAACTGTCTCATATCAGGTGGCCGTGGACGCCGCGGCCATGAACATCCGGCGAGGACGCTGCAGTGCGGCTGTCAGTGCAGCAGCAAATGCCGGGGCCTCCGCCTTGATTGCGCCGCCTTGCGCCGCTTGCGCCCTGCGCATCGCTGCAGCGGGAGGTGATCGCCAGCCCGGCGACCTTCATCAGCTTCAGCAAACCTCGGATGTTCAGTCCTCAGCGAGATGCACTCACAACAGGCACAACCCAGTCGGCCCAGTCACCGGGTCAGAATTACAGCAATTTCTGGCTGCCCAGGTTGTCACCGCGAGGACGGTCACATGCATTTGATGCCTCTGCTGACGGCTACGGTCGCGGAGAGGGCGCAGGCCAGGATCTTGTTCCACGGTGTTTCCCTTGCGGCGTCTGTGCTCCCGAGGTGCGGTGGCGCTGTGTCCGCTCAAGGCGGACGGCGGCAGCGCTCGTGCTGCCGGGCTGCAGACAGGCAGACAGCACCGCAGAAAGCACCGCAGAAAGCATTGCCATTCTCACTGCATCTGAGGCAGCTCTACGAGGAACCGCGGTGAACCAGGATGGCAGAAGCTCGACCATGACGGCGCCCAACGGGCCCTCGCAGACCATGGTCGTGGCCACGGCCCTGGCGGAGGCGATGCTGCAGCACCACCAGGCGCGGGGCGGAGCGCTGTTTGGCGGTGGCACGGAGTGTGGGCAGTGTTGTGGCAGCAGGTGCGGCACTTCGAGGCCCATGGCACGGGAACGCCCTTGGGCGACCCGATTGAGGTGGGGGCCCTTCAGGCCGGCAGCCTCGATGAGGGTGCAAGGCAGCAGCCTGTGGGCTTGGCCGCGGTGAAGACCAACGTTGGCCACCTCGAGGCCCATCAGCACGCAACAACAAAGACGACAGTAACCGACAGTATGTCATGACCACGACTGTGACAATGACTACGTGACAATGACTACGATGTTTCCGTGTCTTTACGGCGCGCAGGGAGCTGCTGCCTCTCCCGGGCTGCTCAAGACCGTGGCCCTCCTGAGCCGTCGCACCGCCGGCGACTTGGTGTCGAGTGCCCGCGTCCATGCCGTCCACGCGGTCCATGCGTCCCCGTCCCGCCAAAAAGCCCGGGGAGGCATTGTCTCTGGTGCACCTGCACGCGCTGAATCCGCACCTCACCTTGCTGGAGGATGTGCCGCAGGCCTGATCAGGGTCCATCTTCGGGCACACCTGTTCTCCTCAGCAGGTCTTCCCCTCAGAGCACTTCCCGCTGCCTGCGCAGAAGCCGAGAACTGGTGGCCTGTCCTCCTTCGGCTTTGGAGGCATCGAGAGTTCGCCAGATGCAGGTTGACAAACAGTTAGGTTTTTGAGGGACATGTTTCTGTGGCGGAGCAAATTCTCTTTTGCTCACACTTATATATTTTATGCATATGTATATGACTGGCTGGACAGAGCAGAAGAGATGCGAAATCTCTGAGATTTCAACATAAGACTTGCAACCTGCATTTGGCGATGAGGTCGACAATTGCAAAGCCAGTTCGGTTTCTGCATGTTGGGGTGTGCTTGCTGCCCAAGCCGGCTAAAAACAGAAACGTAAGGCTTTATGTTCGCACCCTTTCACTGCATTTTATTGGGGTTTCGGAGACTTGTTGGCAATGTGACAACCTTGAGCAACCCAGCCGCGATCACTTGCAGGCACAAATGCGCACGCCATCCTGGGTGAATCTGAGGTTGTGGTCGATGTTGTGATGACACGACCTGCAGAGTATGTGAAGAGGTCTTTCCCCTGGAGGGACCCTGGCTACCGGCTCTTGCGTCGTCAGGACGGGGACAGCTTTGAAGTGACAATGTCTTCGGATGTCTACGACACCGTGTCGCATCATGTTGTCTTCGGGTCCATCGTGACACCTGGCGTCGTCTATGTGGAAATGGCATTAGAAGCCACCCGGAAGCTTTTTGGCCACAAGGCTCAACTCCGCGACGTGACGATGGTCTTCCCATTCGTGGTCCCGAAGCGCTTCGAATCTGATGAACCCGAGCCAAGCATGAGATTTGTGTTGAAGAACAACACGCGCTTTGAGATTCAGAGCACGAACGGGAGTGGCAAGACGACGGTCCACGTCGAGGCCTCTTTGGACCACTCAGGCGTGTTCAAAGACATGGCCGTGGACTTGGCCTCGCTGCGCAGCCGCATCACCGAGCCCGTGGAGACCAAGGTCGTCTACGAAGCCATTCACTCCGTGGGCCTCTACCTCGGCCCAATGTTCCAAGTGGCAAAAGAGCTCTGGAGAGACACGGAGACCGGGTCAGAGGTCTTAGGACATCTGCGATTGGACCCACATGTCAAGAACGTGGGCTACATCATGCACCCTGCCTTGCTTGATGGAACGATCCATATCTTGGCAACTGCATCCATCGGCAAGAATGTCAGTGGCTTGAAGATCTTTGGGGGCGTGGGCAAGGTGTCCGTGGTGCGCCAGGAAAACTTCTCCAAGCTGTCCAGCTACTGGGTACACCTGCAAGTCACGGAGTCCTTGGAAGCCTCCCAGACCTTCAACGTCTCTGTGCTTGCAGACGACGGCGGACTTCTGATGTCGATGGAGGACGTGGTCTTCCGGGCGGTGAAGCCAGAGCAGATTCAGATGGCCATTGCGGCACAAGGAGGGAAGGAAGAGCAGACAATCTACGATGTGGAATGGTCCGAATGGTCAGAGTCAGGACCGGGCCCTTCGAGCGCGGGAGAGACCCGCAGCTCGCTTTTAGCAGTTGCAGATACCCCGGATCTGCATCATGCGCTCTGCAATTTGAGAGCCGAGCCAGAGACCCTGTCCTTGGAGGCTCTGCATCAGAGCGACCTACCGGTTCTCTTGCCCAAGTTCTCGCGAATCTTGCTTGCCTTTGCCAGCAACCAGCGGGTCTCGGTGCTCGAGGCCCTCATGGCAGTCTTGGCAGTGCTGCAGGCTTTGGCCAAGAGTAAAGGCAGTCTGCCAGAGCTCTGGATCTCGACTTTCTGCTGCCAGTGGGCCAAAGCTGGAGATTTTCAAGGCCAGCCACTGCCTCTACACTCAGCGATCTGGGGCTTGGCCCGTGCAGCCAGGAACGAGCTCCCGAACTTGCACCTCTTCTGCGTGGACGCCCCGGACGGCGCCCTGGACGGCGCCCTGGACGCCCTGGAAGCGCAGTTTGGATCCGAGGAGTCCGAGTCCGGCACACCTGAGCACGAGAGGGCCCTCCGAGGGCCGCAGCCGGTGCTCTACGTACCGCGCTTGCAGGAGGCAAGCCTCACCGGCGCGTCCGACTGGTCGTCAGAAGGACTTAATTTGATCACAGGAGGCTTAGGAGCTCTTGGCCTCTGCTTTGCCCAGTGGCTGCTGGAACGTAAGGCTGCTGTGGCACTCGTCTCCCGCACCGGTCGTGCGGCTGCCGACTGTCAAGTCGCCTTCCGACGCGTGGCTTCCAAAGTGACCGTGCACCGGGCGGACCTGGCTAAGGCAGACGACACGAAAAAGCTCTTTCAGCAGCCGCTCTTCAAGGATCTCCGCGGCATCATACATGCTGCAGGGCTCCTTGAGGACCACATGATCGTCGATCTGACCCGAGAGCACTTCGAGCGACCCCTCGCTGCTAAGATTGATGGGACCTTGAATCTCAACGAGGGGCTCTCTGATCAGCGACTTGACCTGGAGTTCTTTGCTCTTTTCTCTTCCGTTGCAGCACTTCTGGGCACACCTGCCCAGGGCAACTATTGCGCCGGGAATGCTTTTTTGGATTCCTTTGCCGCGCACTGCCGCGACAACGGCCGAAAAGCTGTAAGCATCCAGTGGGGTCCCTGGGCGGAAGTGGGCATGGCGGCGCGCGCCAACACCTCCGAATCCAGCATCGCTCGTCTCAGTCCTGCAAAGGGCCTAGAGGCCATGCACGCTATCCTAGCGGCTCAAAGCAGCCTGCGGAACGGCATCGTGGCCGTGGCCCGCTTTAAGTGGACCACACTCCTGGGCCAGCTGCCACGCGTGCCGGCCTTCCTTGGTAAGTTCAGCGTAACCAGCAGCAAGGGCAGCAAAGGGATGAGCAACTACACCGTAGAGGACGTGCGGTCCTTGGTGGTGGACTCACTGACAGATGCTTTGGGCACCGAAGACTTTGACATCAACACCCCGTTGATGGAGCTCGGACTTGACTCCCTGGCCGGCGTTGAGTTCCGGAATCGCTTGCAGGCCCTGGCTGTGACTGTCTGTCGCCTTCTCTACCAGTAGCTTTCTGCATTTGGGCAGGCCTCGGTTGATGGCATCAACCTGACACCGACGCTGATGTTTGATTACCCAACAGTTCCAGACTTGGTGGAGTACATCTGGTCCCAGGCCTGTACTCCAACGTTTGAATGTTAGCTTCGCAGAAAGCGTGCTCCATGCCAGGTGGGGCCAGCAGAGGAAGAGGAGCTGGCAGCAGTGCAGGCAGAAGAAGTCGTTGGGATGTCATCTGCAGCAGTGCTCTCCATGGCAGGGCGCGGCAGTCGGCAGCCAATTGATCGTGGCTGGGCACAGTGGGCGCTTTCCTGGCAGCCTCTCCAACCATCCAGGCAGGAGAGGAGATTGCGCGGAGACAAGTCGTGGTTCATGATGCTGGGAGGTGACTTCTGGAGAACTCTAGCTTCTGGACTTGATACCACTGCCGACTTGCCGCCTGAACGTCTCGACCTCAGCACTTCTTTAAATCATGCGCCGTGATGCGTGGCTCTTGACTCTCTTGACGCTCCTGAGGCTGGGACATGGACGCTTTCTTCGACCCAGACCCGGACACACCGGGCAAGACCTACGTCAGGCAAGTCTGAGAAGCTCATAGGAAAGCGTGTCGCAAGCTTCTTTGCTTCTGTGTGAGGCTCGGGCACTTTATTTTAGGCATCGATCAGTTCGATGGCGAATTCTTTGGGCTAAGCGAGATGGAGCAGCGTGGCATGGTGGGGATCCGAGGGACCCGCAACCGCCGTCAGTCAGCAATGCTGTGGCACATCAGGACCCGCACCAGTGGCTGACCCTCGAGATAACCTACGACAGCATGTTTGCTGCAGGTCGATTCGCTTTGGTCACTCTTTCGTGGTTTGCATCAATTTGGTATCGCATGTGTCTGAAGAGATCGACTATGCAAGGTTTGACGAAAGAGACGATGAATGGACTGGAGTGCGGCATCTATGTGGGCTGTGCAACACTCGGTGGAATCGCACCTGATATCCCTGCTTTTGGACCCTTCACGAACATCGGTGCGACCCCAAGGATGGGAAGTTTACATGTCATGTGAACGACACTTCCATGCAGATGCCTTAGGCTATGCTTACTCGGGGCTCTCCGGACGCGTGTCCCACACGCTGTCTCTACGTGGGCCTTGTTTCACCGTCGACACGGCCTGCTCCGCAACGGCCGCTGCCTCACAAAAAAAGCGATGGCTGTCGTCGGAGTCGGAGACGACGTTTGCGCCCTTCCCAGGTGGTGGCCCTGGACTGCGCCAGCCAAGCACTGAAGCTAGGCCGTTGTCTGCAACTCGGGAGTCAAAGCCCACCACGCGACTTTGCAGTCGCCACTTTAACGAGGCCGCTCTGCAGCGGCCAGCGGCGTGAACCTGCAGCTCTCGGCCGCCATCTGGGCACAGCTCCCAAGTCGCGGCCTCGCTGCAGAGAGATGTCACAGCCTGAAAGGTCGGCTTCGCCAAGATGCGTGGCCTCGCTGCGGATGGCAACTGCAAGACCTTCGACAGCTCTGCCGATGGCTTTGCGCGGGGAGAGGGCATGGGCCGCTGGCTTAGTCGCATCGGGAGACGCTGACAGAGCTGAGCCGACAGCTTGGTTGAGGCTCCGTCTACATCATGGCAGAGGCGAACGCAACTCCGGCAGCACTGCTGGGCGGCGTCGTCTGGGCCTCAACATGTTCCTTTGACCCGACCCCGGACCACGAATCTGGTCAGGCCACGAACCATGATGGTCGCGCAGCCACCATCACGGCTCCCAATGGCACAGCCCAGCAGCCACTTGGCGCAACTTCCGCCTCCTCGGCCTGGCCTTCGGCCTCCTCGGTCGGCCTCCGCTCGCCCTGAGGCGCGTGATCCGGGCGGCCTTGTCAGAGCGAAGCACGCGGCCGGAGGCCAGGCACTGCTCTTGAGACGGAGAGCGGCGGCTTCTTTTGAAGCGCCTGCCTTTTTGCTGCCAGGCTCTCGCATGCCTGGAATGTCACGGCACGGGCACTGCACTGGGGGATCCCATCGAGGCTGGGCTCCGGGCCATGTCCCCGCCGTACCCGCCGTAGCCGCTTCCCGCTCCTTTTCTCGACAGGTTGGAGCTCAGAAGGCGGTCTACGGCAAAGGCCGTGAGGCTCCAATGATACTGGCGGCGGGAAAGACGAACCTCGGACACCTGGAAGGACCCTCGCGAAGCCTAGTGCTGACAGTTGGGAAGCGCCTCCCTCTCCCTATGTCATGTGAGCTTCGTCGATCCGAACGGCTGAAGCGATGCGTTCCAGTCGCATCTTTCTCGTGCTTGGAAGGAGCCGCAGGCGTGGCTGGTCTCAGCAAGGCTGCCCGGGCCGAAGCTGCGGCGAAGCCGCGCTCCTTCGTACGAACTATTACCTTCCGAGCCTTCTGAGGTCCTGCTGCTGCAGAAGGCCCAGGTGACGCCCCTCTTGTGGCTCAAGCAGCTGCCACCTCAGAGCTGACACGTGACGATGTGACGTCGAGCCGTACTGATCCCTTGAAGGCTGAACCACAACGTGGAGCTCTCCAGCTTTGGCTTCGCTCCGACGGAGCTCCTTGATGCGACAAGGGCGGAGGGCAGGGCGGCCGTGTCGTCTTTCGGCTTTTCCGGCACGAACGGCCATGCGGGCGCCCCGGGCAACGCGATCAACGCGATCAACGCGATGCACACACCGCCACTTCGGCCGGCTCTGAGTCCTGAGCTGAGGCCATCTTGGAGGTCTTTCGCAGCGAGGGCAGCGAGGGCAACGAAGGCGGCCCGGGCGCAGACCGGCCTCGGCGTCCAGCGGCCAAATATTCTCGCCGACACCTGCAGCCCTACCGGCAATGGCTCAAGGCTCCCAGGGGACAAGCCTTCATTTCGGTTGCGGTAGACTTGAAGACGAATCCACATGGCGCAGACGCATTTTCTGCTCCATCCAACACTTCATCCTCGGAGTTCCTGGTTGACGGGGACTCCTCATGAGCTCAAGGCTGATAATGGATCCGACTCCAAAAACATGGGGTGCCCATCATTCCCCCATCCTCAAAGCTCAACTACTAGTCTTGATTTTCAAGTCACGGGCGCCCCAACAGTCCAAGGCCCCCGTCCGCCTAAGGCCTAAGATAGCTGACCGAGGCAACACTCCAAGACTCCCGTCCGATCCCGTCCGCTTGATTTAGACTTGTCTTGTGGGTGCCCCATCAGTCCAAGGCTCCCATCCTCGGAGATCATGCTTAATTAATTGCGCAAAGAAATGTTCCCATCTTCGAAGTTCAGGCGTGATAGCCACCCCATCAGTCCCAGGCTCCTATCTTCGGAACTCAAGCTTGATAGGAGTTCTGATTGTAAGATATTTGGGGCCTCAGCAGTCCAACCTTGAATCCGAGGAAGCCCCAAGCCTATCAAGTCCAGCTTGAATCAAGATTGAGGCTTGAACACCAAGAACATGATTATCATGATTTGTTGCTACACCTCGTGTAAGGATCTGGGTCGCTTATTTGGGAAACCTGGCCCCCGAGCCCAATTCGTCGTCAAACCCCTAATGCGACGTCACCAATTCGGCGTCACCACCTGATGCATCACAATTCGGCATCACCGCCACGCAATGTGGCGTCACAATGATTCGGTGTCACAATCCAATTCGGCGCGGCACCAAAATTCGGCGTCAGGCAATGCCCCGCACCAGATAAAGCAATAGATAATGCAATGTGGCTTTAGGGATTCGGCATCAGGCCGTGTACCGATCCGCGTGGCAACCGCCCTTCATTCATTGGCGAGTTGCAATCGCCAGGACATCTGTTACGAAGAAGTTTGGATCAACGTCGAAGCGAAAGGCTCGAAGCGAGTGCCAAAGGCCAGGGCCGAGTCTTGAGCGACAGCGAATGCGGAGGCGAACTCCAGCCGCAGCCTTTGCAGCCCTTCGTCCTGGTGGGCAGCGGCGCTGTCTGCAGCGCGATGGCCGCCAGCAGTGCCTGTGCCGCCAACCTCGAGCCAAGAGGCGAGCGCCGGAGCGCCGGGTCACCCGAAGCCGGCTCCAACGCATGTAAGTGGTCTCGGAAAGACTTCGTGCAGGTCGGGAAGAAATCGCAGAGGCCTTGGCCCAGACGCGGGCCAAAACTGCCATTTTCGTCGGCAGCTCCGGCGAAGTGCCTTTGCAGAGCAGAGTGGAGCCAGCATGAGGTGAGGAAAGCTGCCTAAATCCTACCTGAGGCGCCCGATGAGCCTTTGGCTCATCTGCTCAGCTTCCTCCAGGCGCTTCAGCTCGCCGCCGTGGACACAGCCGTCGTCGTGACCGTGTCCCAGGCCCCGTCCATCAAATGATTCCATGTCTGATTTGATCGGCCGGTTGGTCGATGTGTGTGCATGACTTCATGTTCTTGTACTTATCTGCTAATTGTTCGCGTTCATGTTCATATCCAGAGAAGACCTGAGCACCCCCCGATCCGAGACTCCACCGAGAAGCATATTCAGAGTGTCGCTGCTTGTTGCTGCCAGCAGAATCTACATTTTCCCATGCATGAGCTTCTTTCAAGTACGTCTCGATCAGCCAGGAGACTCAGTCTCATCATCAACTCTTGAAGCCACGATTCTACAGAAACGTTCTGGATGATCTTCAACATCGAAATGAGTTTCTCGAGCGAAGGGTAAGCTTTCTAAAGGCTTGGTCTGGAATCATTCATACAAATCCAGTGCTTCTGGCGAGAGCTTTACTCGCTTTGCGCTCGAACAGCCTGACTGAGCGAAGATCGTGCACCCACAAGCGCACTGCAGGGGCCTTCGATGGACTCTGGTGCCGCTCTCTGGGGTTTGGCTCGCTCTGCCGGGTGCCCTGGAACGAGTGCTGGCGGTTTGAAAAGAATTGGGCACGCAATTGCGCAGATGTCCTTCGTAGCCCAATGCTGCATGGAATTTGCCTTGACATTGCCAGAGGCACGGCTGGAGATGCGGTCAGAGATCCGGCTCTTAGAGTGCCCTGAGAAAGCTGCCAGTGCGGTCGAAGCCTTAGTACGTGGCGCTTCGATGTGCGCTTCGAGTTGCTTCGCGCTGAGGTCTTGCCCTGGGTGCAACGTCTTCTCTCCGGGCCGGAGACGGAAATCTCCGCGCGAGATGGAACGGAGGCCGAGGCAGCGGCATCCCATTCGGTCCGTTTTGACCTGAGAGCAGAGCATGGCGGTTCAAGCGCGCTTTGCTTGTGCTCGTGCCGCGCTCCGTAGGCTCCACGGCTCCAGCGAAGCGTTGCAGCCTCCAGCTTGCAAAGTCGGGACATCTTGCGGGGCCAGATCGGTGCGTCGCTGGTCACCGGCGGCCTGGGAGGTGCCAGGGCGAGAGCAGGAACGGAACGGGGAGAAGGGCCGGGGAAGGGCCGCCGCTTACCCGAAAGGTTTGGGCCTGCTCGCAGCGCAGCAGTTGGCAGATCTGGGGGCGAGCACGTGCAGCGCTCACGTCGCAAGCCTCTTGCTTGCTTGCTCCGGCGCACACGGCTCGCGGCTCGCGGCTCTCGCTCAGGCTGGTTCTGGCCTCGCGGAGTGGTCGCGCGGCGAACTCGGCAGCGCTTGCACGGTTGGAGTTGGCCAAGGCGGCCCGAAGCCGAGCTTGGTGGCTGTCGTAGCAGATCCCATCGAGCCTGTGATTCAGATACGTGAGCTGTGCTGGCTCAGGTTGTGGAGGTCCGGAAATGCGATGTTAGCCGTGCTGAAGATGTCGCAGCACTGACACAATCGTTTCCAGGCTTATGTGGCAGCTTTCGGAGGTCTGCCCTCAGCTTCGGGACCGAGGTTGCAGCATCTCGACAAACTGCACGCCATCGTCCATGCAGCCTCCAGCTCGGGCAATTACAAGCGCCGTTCAAAGATGAGACGGAACAGGACGAGTTCCTGAGGCAGGGGTGCTGGACCGCTGTGCGCTCAAGGACCTCACTGCGTCCAGGATCGGACATTTGAGAAGCTCATTATCTAGAGTCTTCTAGATTCTGCTCCTTCCAGGCTGGATGTGACCTTGGGCCCCAAAGCCAAGGGCGCCTGGCACCCGACAGCTTGGGCAGAACATCTCGCGCTTTGCGTGCTGCTGAGGCCTGGCACTTGCAGGCTTTGAGTGAGCGGCTCCTGATGTTCTCCTCGGCCGCCCGCTCGGACACTTCGCCGACGGTCTCATGATCTGATCTCTAGATCGAGACTCTATAGAGGTCTCTTCCTTCCTGGGTCTTTCCAGTGGTGCCGCTTATGCTGGGCCCTGGGCGCTGTCGCGAAGCGGACATCGATTGCAAAAGCGTCGCAACATAAAACGCAAGGCTGCGGCGAATGCCTACTTGGATGCCTTCGCCTCCTGGCGCAACACGCAGTCGCAGTGCTCGCCTGAGGAAAAGAAGAAGTGGCTCCTGTGAATCCGTACGGCTTGACATGCGCACTCGAGGGGGACTGCCGTGAGCGTCCGCTTCGGCCCGGTGGCAGATGTTGGCATGGCCGCGGCCGTCGCCTCAGGGCAGTGCCTCCGCATCCGCCATCCTCCATCAGCCTCCATCTTCGCTTCTGACAAGGAGAGCGGCCAAGCCCCCGACGGCACTCAGCCCCTTCAACCACTTCCGCTGGCGCAGGCCAGCGGTAGCTGTGTTCGTGACCGCTCTTCAAAGGGCAACAGGGCAGAATTGAGGTCACCAGCGGCCTGCGGCTCTTGCTGGCACCGCAGCCCTTGAGCTGGACGCCCCTGACGCTGACACTGGCGCGGGCAGACTGGGCCGCGTACTTCCGGCAGTCCGCCGGCCTCGCCCCGATGCTCCAGGACTTCCAGCTTCAGGTGGAGACCACGAGTTCCAAGAGAGACTTTCTAGTAGGGCAGTTAGGTCCTCTTAGGGGTCTTCCGGTTGCCTTGCGGATTGCGGCTGACAGGTGACCTCAGAGACGGAGCCAGATGCAGAGCGGCTGCGGCTGCGAGAGATGTCGGCATCGGAGCGGGAGAAGGCAGTGCTGGCTTCCCTACACGAGGCTGCCTCCTCGATGCATCTGGACATCCAAGAGGACACCCCGCTGATGGAGGAGCGAACCTCCATCACAACACTCATCAAAACACTGTAATCAGCAACCCAAGTCCTCTGCCCCATCTTGCCGCCACCGCCACATGTTTCAGGCAGGCATTGACTCCCTCTCTGCAGTGGAATTCCGTGGGAAGATCTCCACTGAGTTCCGGTCCGTGCGTCTGCCCAGCACGCTCATGTTCGACCATCCCACTCTCAAGGCAGCGGGTGCATCTCGGAGAACTCGGCCGACAAATCACGAAACCGAAGAAGCAGACTAACTTCCAAGCACACATCTTCTGAAACGAAGCCCAAACAGCCCAGTCGTTTCTCAAGAGCAAGGAATGATTACTTATTCGTACTAATCATACAAACGTTCAGTGTTTGTGTTGCTCGGGGGGTGTGGGGGCGCCCTGTGCTGGTGCCGGTGCCGGTCTTGGCGGTGGTGGCTTTCGTGGTGGCGGTGGCGGTGGCGGAGGTGGTGGCGGTGGCGGAGGTGGTGGTGGTGGCGCTGGTGGTGCTTGCTGGCGCTTGCCTGTGCTTGCGGGTGCTAGTTGGTGCTGGTTTGTGCTGGTCGTGCTAGAAGGCGTTGCGACCCACGGTCAAGCATTCGGATCCACACTAGCACGGGCATGAAATGCTTGGAGTCTCACAAAACTTGCAAGGGAGCAAACACATGGATGCGGGTCATCATTCGGCGAAGGCATGCCTTGTAAGTGCTCGCGGACGATGCCATAGCAATCAAGACTAAACTCCGAACGTGGTTTTGGGATGTGAGACTGACGATGGGTCGAGGGACCCGTTTGCCTGTAGAGGCCATTTCGCAGCACATTTCGGGACAGCTGGCAGAGGGCGGCACGCCTGTTGCCTTGTCTCCTGCCTCGCTGACGGCTGCTTCGCCTTCCGCTACGACAGCAACGGACCTGGAAGTCCGGGGGGCCGCATGCACACTGCCCGCACCTGGAACTCCATACGGTGGTGTAGCTTGCAGCCTCTGGTATGGAACGGACTGCGTGACAGAGATGCCTTACTCCCGCTGGGACGTGGAGGACTACTATGATCCCGAGGCTCCATCTGGCTTGGAGATGTATGTGCGGCACGCAGCCTTCGTCGAAGGTGTGGATCTCTTTGGTGCGCAGTTCTTTGGGATCAGCAAGGTGGAAGCAGAAGCGATGGACCCGCAGCAACGCCATCTGCTGGAAACCGCCTTCGGGGCCTTCGGTGACTCTGGTTGCTCCAAAGCTCGTCTTATGGGCTTGAGGGCTGGCGTCTTCGTCGGTCAGGACAAGAGCGACTGGAATCGAATGTTGTCAGCAGCTCATGCAGGTCCTTTCGCTGCCACCGGTGGCTCTGCTTCTATCTCCTCCAATCGTATCTCCTACAGCTTAGGCTTGAAGGGGCCGAGTGCCACCGTCGACACCGCGTGCTCCTCATCTCTGGTAGCTGCCGACACTGCCGCAGCAACAATAAGAAGAAGTCGTTGCGAGGTGGCGGCGGTCTGCGGCGTCAACATGCTGCTCTTACCGCAAACTTTCATCGCCTGCTGCCAAGCGCGCATGCTGTCTGCCGACGGCCGGTGCCACACCTTTGACGCATCCGCCAGTGGCTATGCACGTGGTGAGGGCTGCGGGGCACAAATTCTTGGGCCGTCATCGGCAGCCTGGGCGGATTCAGAGTCAGTGGCTGCTTTTGCCGGAAGTGCCCTAAATCAAGATGGCCGCAGTGCCAATCTCACGTCACCCAATGGCCCATCACAGACGTCAGTCATCGAGGTGGCACTCCTGGAAGGAGGCCTTAGGCCGGAAGATGTGGGACAGGCCCGGCGCGCTTTTCATTCGGTTAAAGGCTTTAAATCATAGATGATAGGCGAGTTCTAAGTCATAGAGTCAGAGACGACAGGTGGAGACCCACGGCACGGGCACGGAGTTGGGTGACCCCATCGAGACCGGGGCCTTGCGGGCTGCCTTGGGCTCCCGCAGTTTCCCTCTGCTTCTGGGCGCCGTGAAGTCCAACCTTGGCCACCTGGAGGGGGGCGCCGGCATGGCGGGGCTCCTGAAGCTGGCCGGGGGACCCAGCTTAAGAGCACAGACAGAGAGAGAGAGAGAGAGAGTAGCCATTTTGGCTCAAGTGCTGCACCTTTGCTCGGGAGTCTGTGACGCTCCCTTGCATCGGGGAGGGAGGTGACTGGTTGACTTGGGGTGTACCCCCAGGGGAGCCTGTTCACTTTCCTCCAGCGGTGCTTGAGTCATACGCCCGCCACATTTCTCATCAAGTGGCCCCTCTACGTAGTGCCTGCGAGCCAGTGCCGCGATTGCTGGAGCCCGAGAAGTAATTCCGTGCGCCCTCCGTGCTCATCGCTCTGGCAGGGGACCTCGTTGTGCAACAATCCAGGAGGGTGACCGCTGCTGTGCTGTGCCTTCAGGACAACCTAAACCGCGTCTCTGACGTGATCGGCGAGCCTACTCCAGTCCGTCCGCTACCCGCCGATTCCCGGGGAGCAGACCCTCGAACGAGCACGTCGCCTTCT